ATGATGCAAAGGGGAAGTTGGGAGTTCTGCAGCAGATGTAGTCGACGACCGAGTAGACCTAGCCGCAACAGAAGAAGTAACAGAAGCAGGCAGCCGGGCAGGCCTATTCGCAGATATAACGGGAACAGATTCCGAAGAAGAAACATCTTTCCTTTACAAAATACAGGAGGAGGATCCCTCGATCCCCTCGAAGATCCTCGAGTTGAAAAGGGAAGATTAAAAGATTGTCACTTCCTATACAAAACTATAACGAGCGAGCGACCATGAGGTCAAAATAGTATAGATAAAAATAGATGAACTCATTGGTCACAAAAGATGTAGGCCCAAACTTCTTGAGAAAGGCCGGCCATTCACAAATCTCCACTGTGTGAGGTAGAACCTGGCTATCCCAATCATGAATGTCCCCAATGAAAGGAGGGGGCTCAGTCTCAGCTGCATGGAGAAGGGACAGAATGTCAAACTACGACAAGGACAGTCAAAACATACGCTTGGCAAAAAAGAGATACTTACGGGCATAATTCCAAGCCTCAGGGAATCCGCTCGCATTGGCCACCATGTCCTCGGTTTTGATGAAAAAGTAGTTAAGCTAGAACTCACGATTTGCCTTATCATCCATCTTCACCACCAGACATTTACTTCCTCGGTGACGAAGGTGCAACGTCGTCCCCCTATAGAAACTACAGGCGAAGAGATGCATCAGGTGGCGAAGTGAGACCCCGACCCCGGTTAACTCCATATATTTAAACATGTGGATAAGCTTATAGATGCATAGAGAGAGTTGGGTCGGGAAAATGCCGTAATAGTGAAAAAATTCCTCCATCAATGGGAGAAGAGGAAAGGAATAGCCAACGTAGAAAGGGTGTGCATAAAATGCTTAATACCCGAGGTGGTGTATTTTTACCACATTGCTCTGCTAGGATCAGATCGATGTGGGAAGGAATTTTCAATTTTATCCTAAGCTCAGCGAGATCGACCTCTTTCATCGCTGACTCGAGACCTCAAGGTCATCCTCAGGCGCCTTCAAAAAATCGGATCTAACTTTTTCAGTTCGAGGGATTATTTCCTCCACCGTAGAAACATTCTCGTCTTTAATGGTAATAGAAACACTATCATCATGAGGAGGCATGCGCACCGCCAAAGGGATAGGGTCAGTTGCCATACCGGAACCAGAGAGTACGTTAACCATATTTTTAAAGAAAAGATGTTTTAAGTATAGAAGAGTTGGAAGTAACTAGAATCACTAAAATCGGGGGAATTGATATACACTAATGAAGTAAAAAGAAGACAAAGATTCAATATGAAGAATAGAGAAGAAGACACAAGGATTTGATATTAAGAATATGCAAAACACAAACAAATGGTCTAATGTCCCTATTTATAAGAGTTCAAGCGTCAAGACCAAGAAATTAGGCCATCATTACCCAGCGTAGGTATCGAAATGGTAGAGGCACGGGAAATGACGCAAAGCATCGGGAAAACACGCCATAATGCGCATGATGTCATGACGTTATTCTGAAATGATGCGGCCCCAAAGGTTGCGGCTCACGAAAAGTCACGTTGTCACCTCATCTGAAGCGCCACTACTCGACTTGCTCGTCCAATTTTGTCAACCACGATAAACAGAGTCCACTCATCAAGGTCGTCTGGAGTCGGTCTTAATAAGAGAAGGGACTAACTGTATAGACCAAAATATGCCCTAAGGATATTTAGCGTAATACGGCATTAAGGAAAGAGTCGGTCGAGGTAGACTAGGAAGCAGCAAGATTCATGGCCAAGATGTCAACCATGAATGAGGTCAAGCATCATGTAAAGGACAATAACGGCTAGTGTTTGAAATAGGATATTAAAGAGAATATTCTAGTGAATATTCTCTACACTTGTACTGTTAGGGATATGTCTTCTATAAATAAAAAAAAGATAATGTGATGAGGTATGTAATATTCACTTGATAAGAACACCTTTTAGAAGAAGATTCTCTCTCTCTAGCAAAGATACAAACTTTAGCTTTTCATCAATATTCTTACTCATATTATTCCATACTTTTTCCATCGGATCCGTGAATAATTCAAACATTCTATTTGTCTGTCACTCATCACTGTCAGGAGGAACAATCATCTACCTCATTCATTATTGGGTGAATCGCTCCCCATATTTACTTAAATGTCATTTATTGTTATTTATTGCTAGTTATTCCTCCATTATTGCTCATACCTTTTGGAATATTAAATGTGCGTTACTTTCAATCTCCCACTAACTCTGTCTTACGTTGTCCGTGCTTTCAAGATTTATATCTACAAATATTATCATTAACTAAGTTTAACCCTTCATTGCATAAAATTAAATAGTTTAACCAAAAGTTTATATTTTTTTGTCAAACACTCATATTTATATGTTATCATTCTATTATTATTTCCACTGAATCCAGATCTGAATTTACTACGTAGGGGTCGTGAACATGGCCAGTACGTTTGTTCGTTGTTGATGCAATAACTATAATTTCTATATTAAACTGTTGTTTTTATTGTCTCGTTCTTTTTCCCATCTATAACTGGAGGGTTTCCTCATATTATTACCTGCTTTCTCATAAGAATTCAATTGTTTTTTCTCCTTAATTTCAACCAATGAAAAATGAAGCATTGTGCTTTCTATAGGTTTCGACGGGTTGGTCAAGTTTGGATCGGCTAAAATGGATCGAGTGTTGGTCAAGTTTGGATCGGCTAAAATGGATTGAGTGAATATGTTTACTTAAATTAAAATCAAACTGAACAATAAGTCATAATTCAACTTGACATACTCGTATTTAGTGGTGGTAAAATGGTTAAAAGACAAAAGTTATTCACTCATATTATCCGTTAAAAAATGGGTTGGATAATGAACTTTTAAAAATGGGTCAAATATGGATAAAAATCATATTATCCAATTAGGAAATGGATAACCCATGAGTTTAGCTTTTACATTTGTAAAGCCTTAAATTGGAGGTTTCTCAAGTTTGGGAGACTAGAGATTCTCCCAAAAGTGATCATATTCAAGATCCATATTATCTGCTAGTTAATCCGTTTTTTATCCTTATTAAATATGGGCGGGGTCGATAATTTATCCGTTTTTATATTAGATTTTTTATGACCTGCATATATTCGACCCGACCTGCCTATTTACCATCCCTACTCGTGTTTGAACAGTTTACACGGTGAAATAGGGGAGTTAGATAAGTCAAAACCGAGTCAAAAACATACCATTAAACATACACCAAACTTAACTTAGCTAAAGGTAAGATTATTAAGAAAATGGCGATTCGAAAACAAATTCACTGTTTTAGTAACCCTTTATCGGTTACTAGTAGTTGGAAGATTAGAGTGCAAGAGGACCCATCTATTTGCTTTGTGGTCCACCATATATCCCCAAACTCGTTAAAGAGTTGGCCCACCTTAAGATCTTGTATTGAATTTTTCTGATCTTTGGATAATGCCCCATCACTTGACGACAACTTTAACAACAACGTACGTATTCTTACTGTGTGGAGCTTGACAACTTTAACAACAACGTACGTATTCTTACTGTGTGGAGCTTGAGGAGAATAATATGTACTTAGACCTTATTCATATCTTGTGTAGATAGAGATAGGTTATTTCCGATAGATCCTCGGTTTAAAACAAATATTTTAAGGCCTTATTTGTTTTTTAAAGTTTAAGACGTCTGGATCTGAATATCAAGATGTGTATTAAGATTAAGACATCTGAATCTGAATATACAACTGAATACTAAGATGTGTATTAAGATCTGAATATTAAATGATTAAGACTGTTTGATTTTTAACATCGAATGAATAAGATTTATCTTTATTTGAAAATTAATAAACATAACATTCAAATGAAAAACTAATTAATCTAGTATTCTATCAATAAAATATATAATTTTTTAAAATATAATAGTTGTTGGCGGTGATGGCTAACGGGTGAATGCCGACTAGAGGCGGTGGTTGGTAGTAATTTTGGTTGATGGTAGTGGTTCATGGTAGTAGCTATTGGTGACTGGTAATAATGGAGATTATGATTGAGGATGGTGGTGGTGGGTAGTGATAGTTAATAATGGCGGGTGGTGGTAGTAGTTGTGATTGAGGAAGGTGGTGGTGGGTAGTGGTAGGTTATAATGATGGGCAGTGTCGGTTGTAGTTGTTGATGGTGATGGGGTAGTTAGTTGTAGTAGTTGAGGTGAATGAGTATTGATTGTGGTTGAGAATGATGGTGGCGGAACGGTGGAGATGGTGGGTGGTGATTGTCGATGATGGTGGCGGCTATGGTTGATGATGATGGTCGTGGTGGCATGGTGGTAATAGAAAATAGTAGGTGGTGACGACAGTTAATAATGAATATGGATGATAGTATCTTAATGAAATTAAGTCTCTGTTATATATCTTAATCATACAGACTAATTCACACCCATTAAGTGAGTGTGAAGTAAAAAAACAAGCACACTTAATGATTAAGATCTGAATAATTAAGATTCAGACTTTAAAAACAAACACAATTAACGTCTGAGATCTGAATGATTAAGATTCAGACCTCCATTAAATGCAAACAAATGAGGCCCAAGTATGCTTGAATGAGAAAAATGATAATAAGGAAGTTATGTTAAAAATAATGAAGACAAAAACAATAATAAACGCAAAATTTATATTATATTAAAAGTAGAAGACCCTTAGCGAAATATCGTTCGTCTTTTTTATCCCTTTAATATAGTGTTCACATTGGACAAAATAGTCATTTAATACTATCTTCCTATATATAGTATTAATCATTCAATTTACTTTTCTAATATTTAAAAATACTCATTTAATTACTTTCCTATTTAGGACCTTGATTTAGAAAAGTTAAAAACACATTCCTAAAATACCTACCATAAATAAATGAGAAAAGTAATTTTAGATCTTCAATTCCTAAAATCTTAAGTTAATTTTTAAAAAAAATATTTCAAGAAGGCATCAAATTATTTTACATTCTAATATTTCCTAATTACTGTATTATTTAGAAACGGCAGTTATGGTATACGAACATGTTCAACATTTTAAGGGTAAATTGGTAATTCTATCCATGTCTTCTTAGAGGGACACGTATGCTACAATTAATTTGACAAAACCACAATTAAGCTCAACTTCAGTGTTAACAACTTCTCTCTCATTCGCTGCTTCAAAGACCCATCTCTGTGTGTGAGTATATCAACTTTCTTCTAAGTTTTTCTCCGTTCTTCGATCTTTCAATTTGTGAAATTCTTTTGTTGATGGGTATGTGGTTGTTTATGACGTCGGGTCTTACACTACTATACTTGTGATTTGGTGAATTTTACTTCATTCTCTTCCATTCTTTGTTGCACCCATTTCCTGGTGATGGGATTTTGATAGATCTGATTTGGTTTTCTTCATAATTTGGATTTTTTGTTGAATTTCTTACATGCAGGTCAACATTTAATTGGTATCTCTTTTGCTCCGGATTTTTCGGAATAGTGTGCTTCCAAAGCCTCAAACTCTTTCCTCATGGCATCTTGCCAAGCTGGGATAGGAGCTGCCTGGGAATATGTATATGGTTCAAATTTTACTGGCTTAGAAGAGGAGCAAGAAAGGGAATTGGGCAGCTTGTAGATGTAATCATTTAAGTAAGAAGGAGGATTATGAGGTCTATCAGATTTTCTAAGGGGAATAGAGGATGGTGCAGGAGTAGCAGTATCGGGATTGAAGGAAGGAGAAGCAGGGGCAGAATCAGGGACAGCAACTGAAGGAGAAACTGCAGCATCTATGTCAGGAGGAGAAGAGGTGCTGGGAGAAGTAGGAGATGAAGAACCATGTGTGAAAGGAGAAGCAGGATGTGATGTTGTGTTGGGGGGAACATTAGTGGAAGAAGAGGGCATAAGACAATCATGGGGAAAAGAAGGTAAATGAGCAGGTGACAAAGGGGACTCAGAAACAACAGGAAAGGAGAAATCTGAATAAAAAGGAAAATGCTGCTCATGGAAAACCACATCTCTGGATATGAAACACTGCTTGGATTGCAAATTATACAACTTATAGCCTTTCTTTGCAAAGGGATAGCCAAGGAATATACAAGGATTAGCTCTAGGTTTCAGTTTATCTCGTTGAGGAATTAGAACAGTGGCAAAACAAAGACAACCAAAAGTCCTTAAGTGAGAATAATTGGGCTTTTTTTGCCAAATAGCAACTCATAAGGAGATTTATTTTGAAGCAAGCTAGAGGGAAGTCTATTTATAATATAGGTGGATGTGAGGAGACGGTCTCCCCAGAATCTAATGGGAACTTGGGACTGAAAAAGTAAGGCTCTAGAAGCTTCAAGAAGAGTTCTATGCTTCCTCTCAACCACACCATTTTGTTGAGGTGTGTGAGGGCAGCTTGTTTGATGAATTATACCATGTTCAGAAAAGAAGGAAATAGCAGCATGACTAGCTCCTAACTCTAAAGCATTGTCAGACCTTATACACTGAATAGTCATATGAAATTGTGTCTTTACAAGTGCAACAAAGACCTTAAGAAGAGGGAAAGCATTACTCTTGGAGCCCATTAAGTGAGTCCAAGTGCTTTCCAGTGAAATGATCAACAATAGTAAGAAAGTATTTAGAACCTGAGTAAGTAGGTGTGTGATATGGTCCCCAAGTGTCAACATGGACAAGTTGGAAAGGCTTAGAGCTATGAATAGAGCTATCAGGGAAAGGCAATCTAGTTTGCCTAGCCATTGGACAAACATGACATGTAAAAGACTGTGTGGAAGAAATAGCAGAAGACACTTCAGGAATACTTTTCATTCTAATAAAAGGAACATGAGCAAGTCTACTACGCCAAACAATATCCATCATTTTATTCATAACAGCTTTATTACAGGTGGAAGAAGCAGTATTTACAATAGAAGAAATAGGAACAGGATCACAAACAGATGGTAAGCTGCAAGAATTTGACAGAGTAGCTTGATGTTGAGAAGGCTTTTCCCATACAGACTTGTATAACCCACAATCCAGTTTACCAAGATCCAGAGGCTTCTTCAGAGAGAAGGGTCCTGTATGAGACAAGAAAGTCTGGTAAACTGAACTATGCAATCAAACTGGTCTGTGAGTTTATGTACAGAAATAAGATTGTGTTTAAAAGAAGGTAGATAGAGAACATTTGTAAGAATAATGGAATCAGTTAAGGCAAAGGAACATGTACAAGTGACTTTAACTTTGTATCCATTTGATAGGGAAACAAGGAAAGGAATAGGTAAAGGTGTGATAATATTAATAAGGTAATCTTTGTTAGAGGTCATGTGATCTGATGCACCGGAGTCAACTATCCAAGTTAAAGAATCAGATTGACTAAGTAGAGTAGAATTAAAACTATATACTACATGATAAATTTGTTACTTTAAGCTTCATTTTTCCACCAGTTACTGATTGATCAATAACATGTCAAGCATGTCTTATCAAGTATTGTTTCTACTTCTTCTTCATTTATCTACAGTGAAATCTTCAATTGTTTGCTCTCAAATTCATCAAACTAAAGCATTTTATGATCCAATTTAGTAGAGATCTCTGTCTATTTTGTAGTGCTTCTAAGGTTAGTACTGCACTTTAGAATTTAGATGCATCATGAGCTAAAAGCCTAATTTAACAACTAATGCCTGGTTGGTGAAACCTTTTAATTCGCAAATGGTAATGGGAAAGTTACCTTGTGATCCACCATTCTAGCCTATAACATTAGTTTGTGGAGACGAAACATTACTAATGAAACAGTGCGATTGGATTGATTAGCAGGGGAAAAATAAAGGACTGCTGATATATAAATTTCAAATATTCTTTGTTGCATCTACCAGTACATTGCTGATGGTATTTTCTGTTTTATGCCATTTACCGACTTTTAAATTGGGCCTACTGTTGCGAGTTAATATATGCCTTATTTCAGGCCATTCTAGAGTAAACTGAAATTTTGAGTAAGGAAGCCATTAGGCCTAAGGTTGAGTTATCGTTTCTTTTTTGGTAATTAAGAAAGTTTTATTATCAGGGAAAATATATGTACAAGTAAAGAAGCAAAACCCCTAAAGTTGGACATAAGGCCCCAACTTTAGTATAAGCAAACTAGCATCTTAGACAAACTATCAACGGCTATCTACCATTTGCATCTCAGTTTACTACTTGATTCAAAGCTATAGCACTGGCTAGGGGTAAAAATTCAAGTCTGCCACCTGCTTTGTTAGCCTTGGTTGCCAACTCATTCTGCATATAACATCATGTATGTTGTGTTGAGTTATCTTTTTGCGCTAGATATTTATGTTAATTTCTATTTCACTAAAAATGCCCAAAGGTTTTTGGTTTATGATGGTACATATTCATCTATTCAAAAGCACCAAATCCTTCAGTTATATATGCTATTGACATCATGTTTCTATTTGCCGTGTCATTAGATTGCAAATGTGTTTCTGCAATTTCATCAGGTACATGATTACTTATCTCTGCTTTACTTATGTATCTGATTAGATTTTTATGACAATAACATGTTTGATTTTTTATTAGAAAGGAATATTTTAAAGTCTGTCAATTCATTAGATGTCTTTGATCAATAATACGCGAGACTACAAAAAAATATTAACTCTTAGATTCTGTGCACTATTGGGTCATGTTTTGCATCAAGGGTGCAACATGAATCACTATGTTGTTGAGAGTACTACATCTAATACTGGTGATCTACTAATTGAGAAAGGTTCCGATTCTGCTGGTTCGTGCACGTCTTTATGCAGCTGAAGTTGCACATGCTCTTGAATACATAGTATGGGAATGATTCGTTGAGATATTAAGGTACTTTTATTACCTGGACACCTTTGTCAATGAAATATATTAGGAAAGTTTTGAGTTTATATTTATGGCTGCCAGAAAACTTGCTACGTACTGCAGATGGACATATTAAAATCGTTAACTTTGGCAGTGTAAAACCATGCAGGATAACAGAATAACAGTCCTTTTATATATAACATCAGGTATATCTTTCTTGATGTTCGGTTGCTTCCGTAGAAATTAGAATCAGGTTAAGTTCCCAAAGATATGCTCTTTGTGCATTTTTATTACCAAATTAAATCACTTCTCCAGATAATAAAGCATGCACTTTTGTGGGGACAGCTGCAAAGGTCCTCACATTCAAATGAAGGTTGGTATGTAGATGATTTTATCCTATTTTAGATCACTCAATAAGAAAATATTTGTTGTATGATGCAGGAATTTGTAGAGATTTTGGTGAGCCTCATTTTAGTTTCTGCTAATCAACTTTCAGAATACACCAACTTTGTCTGCCCTTTAAATATCAATATCATATTAATGAACCTTTTATACCCTTTAAGTTTTTTTCCCACCATACTCTAGAAGTATCAATGTCATATTAAAAAGCAAAAGCAAATAGCATATAGGACATCCCTTTGCTTTTTTTTTTTTCCTCTTTGCATACCCTTAAATGATATTTTAGCTTAGATTTGTCTCAGTATCTGATCAAGCACCGGAGAAGGAGAAAATAGTTCAAGGAAGACTAGGAATAGACATTTCCCAACCACTGTGAAGATTGAAGAATAATAGGAAAGTTTATTTCTCATTATATCAGGTTAGTTTCACTTTCAACCTTGAAAGGGATGTTACAGATTTTTTGTTGCTGAGATTCTGGTCTGTTTAGCTGCCTAATACCATATATCATTTGGTTGAATACTACATTATCTTCTAGAGATAGAGCTGTCGTTGCCTGCATTTTGGACGGAAGACAAACAACTGCCTGCAGTTACACAGCTTGATATATTTTCAACAGGTTACTCCATCACGGGAGAAAAAGGTCAACTATTTTCATCCTCAAAGCTTTCCATAGCACGACTTGAGATCTCAAATGGCTGATTGCAGGTGGACAAAAAAGGGACTTGCATCAACTTTAGAAGTTTTATTAATTTTCACACTCCCAAGTTTGTGTGATAATTATAATTAAAATAATGGTACATAAAATACCTTTTGTATGTGATTCTATAATATAGTGTCAATTATAACATTCTAGCATTCTACACAACCTTATAGTGAAAGACATTAGCTAAATCTATATAGCCATATTAATCATGTTGGGCAGCTGCTTTTATGTTGGGCCCGTGCATAGCACGGGATAGAAAAGGACAATACATTAGAAGGAAACTCTTAACTACTTTTGTTATAAGAATTTTTTTCGGCAACTTTGTCAAACAAAAACATAGAATCCATTTTTTCCTTTTCTTCTTTTTTTTTTTTTAACTTTTCTATTTTCATGTTAAACTTTGAAATGTTATATTTTTTACTTTGACCTATATATATAATTATGGAATCCATAAATATAATTATTTAGGAAGGGATTAGGTGGAATGAGTTCTTTTAGAATGTTCCTACTTTCTCATATGGTGCATAATTTAGAGTTAAATGAAAATTTTTGTGGTGAGAAGAAAACATAAGACTCAAAAAAAAGGGATTATATATGGAGTGTCCGGCTTCGAAGATTACTGAAATACATACTAATTTACCTAGATTATAAGAGTGTATGGGGTGCATGCAGAATAAAATTATTTTTTATATATATATTTTTATTGATTAACACGATAGACATGTATAACGCATGTACACTAGAAATTAGTAATAATTAAAAAACTCGACGACAACTTTAAGTTCATCCAAATTCAACACCAATTAGTTCAAGATGCAAGTGTAACAAAAGTTACTTTATTGTATTTGTTATTTACACCAGCTATTCGAAAATGACTTCAAGATATTTCTTCACTCGGCAATATGGACCTTTAAAAAGAAATAAATAATAGTACTATAATTAAACTAATCACTGACTAATTCAAGCTGAACAAGCATAACCTTGCATGATATAACAATAATATTTTGCATAGTATTGCGACATAAATTTATTAAAAATTTTATTAAGGAAATTGAACACTCACTAAATGGAGAAGAATTTATGACAAGTACTCGACATAGTCAAATCTTTTCGTCTATCTCATTATTCGTGTGTGGCCACTACTTCTCTTTTTCTCTTTTAAATAATGGTGCTTACTAAAAAAGGACCAATTAAGAAAGAAATTAATATCTCCATAAGATATTAATTTAATTAAACACTTTAAATGGAAGTTTCTATGCTTCTTTTTTAAAAAAGAAAAGAAAGACCCATCAGTTGTTACATTTAATTGCAACGTTACTACCCGAGGTCCTCAACAGATTATACTATTATATAATAGTTCTAATTGTTAATTAAAACTATGCTCTAAAATCCTTTAAACTGGAAGTCTATGGACTGAATATTCTTATTGACCATTCAGATTTGAACGTTTAGTGAAATCGTCATTTAGCTTTTTCGAAAAAACCTATATTTAAAGTTATTATAGTTATGTGTATATTGAGAATTTTGATTAAACTCGGTATTTTACACCAAATTAAATACATATTCATTAATTACCCAAGTGATAAAATCTTTAGAAGATGTTTGTTATGTTATTTTGAATTCGGTTAAAATGGATTTACGTAAAAAAAATCCCCTTTAAGAGACTGAATTTAATCAATTATATTACAACCGGTATTTTATAAAGTAAGAAACAGTTTCTATAATCCAAATCATCTAGGTCCCAGGTATCAATCAAGTGTGTTTCTTAACTGTCAAGTCATCAATTTAACATAACTATAGTGATAAACTTTTGGAATTAAATATAAATAAGAAATAAGATGTATAACTTTTTACACTAAACATTTGTTATTTAATAATTATCCAATTAAATTGTAGTTTGACTTTGATAGAGTCAATGATTTTAAAGCACTCAAATCCAGGGATTCCTTAGGATTTCGGATTTATCGCTCTCATCTACCATATGAGGAGTAGCACTATTGTCATGTAATAGACGCATTTGAATTGTTGAGAGAACAAGAAAAAAATTAGCATTGGTAGTTATTTAAATTTAATGATATAATTAAATTATATAAATTTTTTATAAGTAAGTGATAAATTATGATGAAAATATATATCAATAGTTGATATCAAAAACTAAGAAAAACATTAATTAAATCTTTTCAAAATATCAGACTCGTGCAGTGTTAGACAACTACTATTCATTGAATCCACTTTTTGGTAGTTCCTGTTATATTGACTCTAAAGTACTATGAGCAAACATTTTAGGATTTTTTTTTTAAAGCAAAACAGTGGCATGTAATAGCTCTAGTATCTTGATGAACAATACTATACTACTAGGGGTATATATATATATAGGGGTCAAAATCCAAATAAGGAAATCCGGCACGAGAAGAGATTATTAGAGGTGATTAGGCCGAGGTCAGATGAAGATTAATGAAACTTACTGCCGAGCTGTTGATTATGGCCGAGGTCAAGTGTTCAAAGCAACAGTAACGACTAGTTTTGTAACAAGATATTTGGAAGAATATTCCATTGAATATTTTCTGTACTTGTACTTTTAGGTCAGATTAGGAGCATGTCCCATATAAATAGGAAGAGAGAGAAGGTAGTGGACATGTATTATTGATTTTGATAAGAACTTTCTTGAAAAGTTGACTCTCTGGATAAATACAAACACAATCTTTCTAAAGAGATTTGATTCGTTGTTTATTTTATACTTTTCACATCAGATCCGAGAAAATCTCCAATATTCTCATAGTTGTTTGTCTTACATCATTGTCATAAAGAGGAATCATCCACCTCATTCAATATTGGGTGAACCATTCTCTCTATTTACATTTAGTGCCATTTATGTTATTTATTGCTTATCATTATTCCCATCCCATCAATAATCATAATATTTAATGTGTATTGCAATAAATCTAATCTGACATAGTCCCATGTTATCTGCATAAACCACTTTTGGATCTAAAGTCATTATATTTAACTAGGATTAACCCCTTATCTTTTTATTTAATTATTTTAACCAAAGATTTATATTTTTTTGGTCAAATAATTTGGCGTCGTCCGTGAGGATGAGACTCAAGGATAAGATAGTGCTACGCTGCATCATACGAACCGGTTTTAACAATGCAGTTGAGCGACCCTTAGGAGAAATCACACACACCGTCCTGGCTGGTGGCGTCACCCTAGAAATCACATTCGAGATCATAGGCCAGGACACGGCATACAACGCCATAATAGGTCGGCCTTGGATACACGCCATGAAGGTCATTCTTTCCAGCTTGTACCAAATCATGAAATTTCCCACACCATGGGGAATACACAACATTCGAGGAGAACAACGCACTTCTCGGGAATGCTATCGCATCGCCCAGGATTACACATACACCCAACAGATAAAGGGTAAAGTTAAAGAAGCATAGCAATCAACAGGGTCGAGGTCGAGCGGTGACGAGAAGAAGGATATGATCAAAAACCCTGAAGTCATAGAATTCGCAGGACCAACCGCAGACGACCTCGACCATGTCCAACTTGATGATAACGACCACAACAAGAAAGCTTACATCGGCCACAAGCTTCAAGAACCAGGTAAATTCTGTCAATTCTTAAACAGTAACGCAAAGTTGTTTACTTTTTCTCATGCAGACATGCCAGGTATCCTAAAGGATATAGCGACACACAAGCTGAACATCGACCCATTCTACCCCCCGGTGAGACAAATAAGGCAAAAATTCAATTCCGCCATAAAAGACACAGCCTGCGAAGAGGTTGAAAAGTTGTTGGAAAACGGCTCTATCAGGGAGTCAAAATATCCCCAATGGGTCGCCAACGTGGTCATAGTGAAAAAGGAGAACAGAAAGTAGAGGATGTGCATGGACTTCATAGACCTAAACAAAGCCTGCCCGAAATACTCATTTGCCCTTCCTCATATCGACCAGCTCATTGACGCAACGGCCAGGCATGGGCTACTAAGCTTCCTAGACGTATACTCGGGCTATAACCAGATCCTCCTGGAACAGGAAGACTAGGAGAAAACCACCTTCATCACCCACCAAGGAACGTATTGCTACAGGGCTATGCCTTTCGGACTAAAAAATATGGGAGCGACGTACTAAAGGCTGGTGACAAGGATGTTCAAAGGTCAACTCGGCAAAACCATGGAAGTCTATATCGACGACATATTGGTCAAGTCAAAAAAGAAAGAGGATCACATCGATCACCTGAAAGAGGTTTTCGACATACTCAGGCGCTACAAAATGAAATTGAATCCTGAAAAGTTCGCCTTCTGCGTGACCTCCAGGATATTCTTATGCTTCTTAGTATCACAGCAAGGTATCGAGGTCAACCCTGACCAAATCAAAGCTATAGAGGGGATACCGGAGAACTTGACCAACAAAAAGTAGGTTCAAAGATTGACCGGTTGTATAGCCGCCCTGTAGAGATTCATCTCGCGGTCTTCTAAAAGGTGCCACAAGTTCTTTGGTGTACTCAAAAAAGACAACGGCCACCAATGGACTGCCGAATGCTTCGACGCCCTGAAAGAACTGAAGTCCTACCTATCATCGCCCCTACTGCTCTCCAAAGTAGAACCTGGAGAGCGCCTCCTCGTTTACCTGGCAGTATCCGAAGTGGCGGTGAGTGTAGTCCTGGTCCGAGAAAATAAAGGTACGCAATCTTTCATCTATTACATTGGAAAAACTTTAGTCGATGGCGATACGAGGTACCCCCACCTCGAAAAATTGGCCCTGGCCTTGGTCGTAGCTTCATGGAAGCATAGCCCTTACTTTCAATGCCACCCTATCTCAGTAGTCACGACTTTTACCTTACGAAGTATTTTGCATAAGCCCGAATTATCGGGCAGACTAGCCAAATGGGACATAGAGTTAAGCGAACATGATATCACATATCAACCGTGAACGGCGATAAAGTTACAAGTACTTGCCGACTTCAACACAAAAATAATCCTTAAAGTCGAGAGAGAAGCTGCCAATACCTCTCCCTAAATATAAGATCTATGGATTTGTTACACCGATGGCACCTCTAATGCATCGAGGTCCGGACTAGGACTCGTACTCGAGGTCCCAACAGAAGAAGTAATTCGTCAGTCCATCAAATGCCCGGACATGACTGACAATAAGGTGAGTATGAGGTCGTGATTCCAGGATTAAGACTGGCCCTCAAGTAC